CATACTGATTCTAAAATAGTTAACAAACATGTATGCTTTGTCTTTATTAGAAAAGTATTGTAAAAGTATTTTTCCATAAATCTAAATATAATTATATTCTGAAAACAGTATTTACTAAATGTAAAATGTACAGAAACTTAATTTCTGCATCCTGAATATGTATTCCCAACCCTGTTTAACTCTCATTTCCACTGTTATTTACTCCTAACAGTAATCATTGTTGTTCACTGGTAAAAGTAAGCGTGTTTACATGCACTTAATAATCCAATAACTGCGATCTGCCACACCTGCTCCAGATTATTAACATTTTCAGAGGTTCCTGATTGGCTGGATCAGATGCTTTAATGCTAAGAAGGTGCATTTTAGATGGAGGTTGGAACTAAACTCCGCAGGGAAGCAGATCTCCAGGACTAGGGCTGGTGACCACTGCTCTACATCCATTCACCAAATCAGTTTCTTCCAAACGTCCTCTCTGCAATAAAACCCCAACCACCTGATCAAACCCGTTCACTGCAGCATAAATATAGATTAAGCCCAGCTAAACAGTCACTTGACTGAGACTGAGCTCTAATGAATGTACAGCATCTGTCATTATATGCTAATTAAATAGTACTCCGGGCACAATTTTAAGTGTTGCCATTAATTTCCCATGCATTTATTAATGACCGCACAGGGAGAGAGCCAGGAAGGGGGGGGTGTGGGGGGGGTCATAAGCGTTGCTTTAAATGAGCCAGACACCACAAGACGAAAGGAGGAAAAAGAATGGAGTGAGGGGAAAGAGCGAGAGAGTGAGATCGGAGGAGACAAAAAAAGAAAAGCATCTCAGGTCTGTGTGTTTTCTTGAGGTTGTTAGGGGGAACAAAACTAGGTCAGTCTGGCGGATCCGTTCGGTCGATGGCGGCTTGGATTCCAGGGCAAAAGGCGCAGAGTGACTTTTGTTTGGAGGAGCGGATAATTGGGCCCGTTCCACCTGCAGAAGGCCAGGATGGGCTGAATGTGTGTCAGCACTGCTGCAAGTGCAGCATTTTATGACGCAAAAATGCGCACTCATTTGCTTCTCCACTGCAAAAAAATTACAGCGTGTAACTAAAATGTGTCTAATATATGTTATTAAAGGACTGCTATAAGAATTATTCAAGCTATTTCAAGACACTGCATACATACAGTGAACTAATTATGTGCACTATCTTGCAAAAGTCAGAGATCACCCTTCATTTACTTAACTTCCAGCCAAAACACCAATTAAGTACAAGATATTCATTTTCTGGAGATCTTTCTGAGGACATTATGTGTAAGAGATATAGATATATACAAATCCGTCTTTCCACTGTGAGAAGACAACTTAACGCTATGGGTCTAGAAGAACGTGGAGCCGTCAAGAAGCCTTAACTGAAAAGAGGAAACAGAAAAAAAAGAAGAAAATTGGTAAAGCAAACAAAGAAGCTGCAAGTGTTCTCAGAACAATAGACTGACCACTCCAGTGTCCAGACCTCATCACTGAATGTGTTTGGGATTACTCGGATTGTGAGAAGCAGAAAAAGCAACCAAATTCCAAGACTGAACTTTGGAGGTGTGGAAAAATATCAGACTTCTTTGAGAAACTGAAAATGAGTCTCTGGAAAAGGATGGAAGCTGTAATAAAGATAAAGGTTGGACACTAAGTACTGGAAAAATATAAACTATATTTAGTTGTTGAGACTTGTATGTTTATGTTTATGTTTTTTTGTGCATGCTGCAAAAAGAATAGCTTAATACTTAATGGCCATTTGGAATGGAAATTAAATAAAGGTAGGATGGTCTCTGATTTTTGCACAGTAGTGTATATTTGCTTGTTTTCAAAGAAATAATTCTTCAACAGAATAAATTGAAAAGAAATTCACCCAGGAAGGCTACATGGTGTAAGACAAAACAAGGGCCAGTTCCCCAGACCCAGATTAAGACTAAGCCTTGACTGAAAAGCATTTCTAGAGGTGATTCACCATTGGCACTGCAATTCAGTCAAAGACTGAGCTTAATCCTTGTCTGGGAAACAGGCCCCTACAAACAGGCTAAAAAAAAAAATCTCACAACATTCTTATAAACCCATTTCCAAGAACAGTTGGTTTATAATCTACTTAGACCTGTATTTTAATAAAAACAGTACAAAGACAAAATATTTAATTGTTTAATGGCACTGCTTTTAAAACCTGGATATCACTACATGGGTCAGGACTGCTTTGACTTAAACTACTTTGTCATTAAACACTGTTCATCACTGCATCCATAAACTATGTACTATGCAGAGCAGAAGTAATTTGTGAACAGTGTCTAGAAACGCTGCCAACTTCTCTGGGTACAAACTCATCTGAAATGGACTGATGCTCAGTGGAAACATGTTTTGTGGTCAGACGAGTCGATATTTCAGATTGTTAATGGAAATAATGAGTTTTTTGGACAACGAAGAAAAGGACCATCCAGATTTTTAGTAATGTAAAGTTCACAAGCCAGGGGCTGTCATAGTATGTGGGGGTAGTGTGGGTAGTTTGCATATTTGTGAAAGCACCATTAATACACATTAAAGCATATTTTGGCAACATGCAGACAATGCTGCCTTTTAAACACCATCTTAATTGTACATGATTGTTCCATAATCCATTGAAATTATATTTTCTAAGTACTGACTCCACTCACCCCGTCTCGTCTCCAGGCTTTTTATTTTATTGTTTAGTTTTAAACATTAGTTTATGAAAAGGTACAAATATGTACTTTACCACTGGGAACATAAGGGTACAAAATTGTACCTTAAAACCACTGTTGTACCTTTGAGGGAACATTCACATTGTTTGTATCTTGATGTACCTAAAATGTACCTGCACAGCACCTTTATTTCTAACAGTGTAACAGAAGAATGGCAAAAAAATACACTTTCAAAACTGAATCAGTTTGTGTCTTCAGTCCCGAATAGTGGTGTTAACTTTTTTTGGAATGTGTGGCAGGCATCAAATCTGGAATGAGTGTATATTTACAAAAAAAAAAAAAACAACAATTTAATACTTATTTTCTGTTTTTCTTAAAATTTCACATACTGCCCCAACTTTGCTCTTTGTATGATACACAACACTTCAAAATCAAACACTGAGAACCTATCAAAGGGTTCCAAAGGTCATAGTTAACGTCATGGGGACTTCAAAAGCCACACAGGAAACAATGACAAACCAATTTTGTCATTGTTCCCAATTAGCCTCATTTGAACTACTCAGAAATTATTTGAATGGCGAAGTCTGAGTGTATAATACATAAACTTTTTGAATAATTGCTTTGACTGGTTTAAGTGTGGCACACTGGCCTTTTTTGTGGTTGCCAACTGTGTAGCCATTAGCTTGCTAAATTGCAAGTCAGCAGAATAAAGTAACCCAGAGATGCAATAAGTTGAAATAGTGAGGGCAAATTGATGATATAAAGGAAAATTGAAGATTGAAGATCAAAGACGTCATTGTTAGTACAGTTCTTGTTCAGTGGTATGCTTAGTCAGAGTGTTTCAATAAAGGAATCTACTTGGAAGCAGCATGCAAATTAATACAACTTCAGATTTTATTTACTGAACATACACCAATCAGACATAACATTATGACTACATTGTTTCCACCACATCAGTGTTACTGCAGTGCTGAGAATGATCCACCACCCAAATAGTACCTGCTCTGTGAGGGTCCATGGGGGTCCTGACCACTGAAGAACAGGGTAAAAGTGGGCTAACAAAGTATGCAGAGAAACAGATGGACTACAGTCTGTAACTGTAGAACTACAAAGTGCACCTATATAGTAAGTGGAGCTGATAAAATGGACAATGAGCGTAGAAACAAGGACATAATGTTATGCCTGACCAGTGTATAACAGAATATAATAAGATACACATGTGAATAAACCAGAGAAATGGAAGTTGCTCTTATTTTCATGTTAAAGGAAATATATACATACATAAAGCTAGTTTCCACTAAAATTTCAATAAGGGAACATGGGACTTTGGAAATATAGGCATGTTTCCAACATGACATGAGGCAACACAGAGCCTGAGGAACACAGAACCCTGGGAACTCAGGGCCAGGCCTGGTATAAGCTTCCATTATTTGCATTTGCCTTGTAGCTCCAGCGCAACACTAAAGAAGCAAACTTCAGACACCATGTCTCGGCTGATTGACTACATTTTGGGAGAGAGGAAAAGAGTGTAAATTAGATTTTCGGCCAAAACACTGCTTTAAGACGTTTTCACTGAGCCGTGGAAAAGTCAGAAAGCAGAGTCGAACACCTGAGGAGAAAACGCCGCCCTGCTGTGCTGCTGGAGATTAGACTTGCACACAAAACTCTCTCCCCAGTACTGCATGAGATAGCACAGGGGGTGGATTTATTTTCCCCGACATATTACTGCGAAAAATGAACAGGTAGCAGGCAGCTTTCTTAAAGGTCCTACATGCAATTTCTGCACATTTTCTCCCATCTATTAAAACTGAAATGCTGCTTAATGGCTGTAAAGAAACCATTTCTGCAAAGATCAAGGCACTGCTACAGCTACTCTCCTCAACAGTGTTCAACTTCAGTAAGGGAATATAATTTGTATTATATGGAAACCAGTGACCCAACCAAAAATAACAGATTTAAATGCAATTGTTAAATATTTTCTGTAGCTGAGGACGACAGATTTAAGACCATATGAATCTAGAATATTGACGGATAAACAAAATATATTCATATTTCTAATTACGATTGGATTATATACAACCAAGTTTATAACTTGGACAGCATGACAACATAAAACAAAGAGAAGAGCAGTGCCAGCTGCTTTTATTGCAGTCTGTTGCGCAAAAGCTCCATCATGTGGAGGAATAAAAGCATAGCACAGCAAGCCAGGCTGTATTATTTCATGACTGTTTCATCCACAGGACATATGGCATGTAAAAGCAGTCAAGTTCGATTACACAAGTAAAAGAAAAGAAAAGGAAAGGAAAGAATGCACACTTGAGCTTGCAGAGGAAGATCAACCTTTATTTATTGAAACTGCTTGCATACAAAATATATTGCACTATAACCAAACAATGTCAACATAAAACCCAGTCTGTTCCGCTATTATGTACAAAGAAATTATTACCCAAAGTGCAGTAACATACAAGGTTAGTCTACCTTGGTTCAATATCTACAGTTTTTCCAAGTTTTTTTCTTTCTTCTGTTCAATTTTGTCTTTTTTTTAATCGACCACGACAGCTTACGATGTGCGCAAGATGATGGTTTTTTACAATTTCGTCGTCCTGTAAATTCGTACACGCTCCGAAAAATAAATAGCTAGAAAACAGTCTGTTTGGCAACGCTTGCGAGACGTGGAAAATGGTTTTTCTTTTCCGACAACAGACTGTCGTGAATCTCGTCAGCCTCCAGCCTGCCTCAGGTTAGCCGGCTGCGAAAACACTGAGAGTAAACCATTTAACGGTCGTGTTAGTCTTAGTTTAGGAGTTGCATGAGGTGACAGGCTGATACGCCTGACCAGCTCAGTGGAAAGAGAACCATACAACTTTCCACCTCACTCCTTTTTTTGTTTTGTCTTAGTAAATTCGCTGCCTGGAACAAACTTTGACAGCTTGGTTCTGTCTGTATTTGTACGTTTTTAGAAGTTTTTATTTGTCTTGCAAACCTGGCGTTCAGTCACAAAGATGGAAACGGGTTTTCACCTCCTTTCCTATAGCAACACAAGTCTAGTTTTCAATTCTCTTCAATATTAATGGAGTACTCTAGCATTTTTCAACCTCCTACATCGGTAGCACTACAGACAGTGGCAATTCTGACGTGTTTCCTGGTACTAATAGAAGAAATCACATTTATAAAAGAAGCCAATAGGGCACTTGCATCAGCACCTGTCCATTGTTTTCTATTGTTATTATTATTATTAAGTGCATTTCAAGTAAACAAATTATCCGTCCTCTTACTAAATACCGGGAATCGTGTCACAATCACTGCCCGTGCTAATACACCATACGCTACTAATGCAGCAGACAGATTTAGGTGAAAAACCCTGGCGTACTCCTTTCATTTTCATAGGATATTGATCCAGGCAAATCACTGAGACTGTGGTTTAAGCTGCAACAAGTAGGGCTGATTACTTTTTTCCTTTTCGCCAAAGAGAATTTAGCAAGCGTACAGCAACGGAGGGAAAAAAAAACAAAAAACAAACAAAAACAAACAAACAAACAAAAAAAAACGATCTAACCAGCTGTAAAAGAACGGTTACTAGCTGTACAGTAAAAGAAAAGAACGCAGAAAGAACTACCGGGGGTTACTGTCATAGTAGGTTTCCAAAATGAAAAAGAAAAAGCGCCCGTGGGTTCAGAACAGCATCACATCTTCTCGAAATGTAAACTAAAAGGTAATGCACAAGCACTGCTCAGATAAGACAAACGGTTTCATTAGCAAACTTAAACGGCACGTCTCCCTTCTATCCCCCTCCCTAAGCGAGCTGAGCTGCAAAAAAGTACAGTAGACTCAAAATTAGCAAAGATACCTAAACTTCAGTTCATTATGTTGACAGCATACATGTGATTCACCTGCTGAGAAGTCTTATCACATTCTAGTTTATTAGAGTTTAATAGATTAAGTACTTGCAGAGTTAACACAAACATGATAAGTGCACATTTAAAGTTTCAATCCAAAAGAACAGCAACAATCTCTTAACGAATGATATAATATACAGTATGCAACCCGCTGCTAAACGCTTGAATTCTAGCATGATCCATTGTTAAGGACAGTGACACGGTTACAGAGAGATTCCATATCGGTGCTTCACACCTGAACATGACACTGAAAAAGAAATACAGCAGGACAAATGGCAGTATACTGTAGCCAGTATGGGGTTAAAAAAGGTCATGTACACCCTGTCTGACAGAGGAAGATTAAGCATTTGTAATGTTTGGATGGTACATACTGGGAAGTCTATAGAAACAGTCAGCTAAAGAAATGTTAATAGTTTTTGAGGGGAAAACAAAGGAAAAAAAAAAAACTGACCACTACAGTTGAAGTGGATGCTTACTTCACAAAAAACCCTATAATGTCTAATTAAATTAGAAAATAAAAAGTCACAACTTAAGTGGTTGAAAATATGTCCATATATCACGTCGTTAAGTGGTTGACTACAATAGATCACGTCCATGCAGTCTCCAATGACGCGGTCAGGAGAACCTCTTTTCCCTAGTCAAAATTCAAAACTCAGCCACGGTAAGACAAACTGACTGAGGCTTTGATGAAGTCCTGCGTTTTTAGATGTACAAAAATGATGGTTATGAAATACTGTACATGCACCACAAAAGGTCATTCTTTCTTTCTCGTTGTTTTTCTTGTTTTTTTTGTTTTTTTTTTTCTTTCAGTGGCTGGCTGAAATTGCAACACAAACATTGGTTGGGTAAGTGTTGTTCATGTCTTCTTCCCTGATTTAAACATCCAAATTCTGAAACTATCCACACTAGTTAAAGGCACAGATCATATAGGAGCGTTTGTAGGTCTACTTTGTTTTCCTTTGATTTTTTTTTGTTTGTTTTTACTTTTCTTTATTTTTCTTTTTTTTTGCGAGTGATGTGGCTGGGACCTCACATCAGAAAGGGCTCTAGGACACCAAAGTGGGGATGGGGGTGGGGGGGACAACCCAACCAAACAAACAAAAACTATATGCCATGAGAGGTGGCACTGAAACTAACGCCAAACATCTGAATTCATCCTCTAATGGCTCTTCTGCCCTTTAGGTTATGAACCAAAATTATAAAAAAAAACAAAACTAAAAAAAAATAACACACTTTTTTTTTTTTTTGAAATACGTTTCACCCACAGCTTCAGTTAGTTTCATAGGTAGTTACCTAGAGAGTCAATTACAAAACCTGTAGCTTCTGTTGTGATTTAGAGACCGGCTTCTCTAAGCAATGTAGACTACAAAATGCAAGACGTCATTCACCAGAGACCTTTGTCTACTACCCCCATTTAGCAATTACAAAATGTGCTTGATGTCATGTCTTGCGACAGCCCTACTGACCTGGTTGTCTTTGGCCTAATGTGTCTCTAATGAAGAAGCTTCTGGATTGGTGGAGTGTAGTGGAGACTGAATTGGGGAGTGGGCTGCCTCTATTTACGACACCCCGTTCACCACCACTTGGCTGTCTGAGCCTTCCTGCTTCTCTTTTTTCAGCCCTCGCTCTTTGACGGGTCGCTGTCGGGGGGCGCCGGCGTCTCCTGTGGGTCCCTGAGGCCCTCGGCTGGCGTGGACGCTCCTTTCGTTATTGCTGTCGACGCGAATCTGCCGAAGGGAGAGAACAGCAGGCCAGATGAAACAGATTCATCAGTTGTGTATTACAACAGCTGCAGTAACTGGCCTGTTAGATCAGTGCTGGGTGATTTATTTTCTGTATGCTGGTCAACAGGTACTGGTGTAAAAATACTGATATTTAATTTTAGTAGTACTGATAGAAAACGTAATTGAAGTGTACACTAGTGTGTGGAATAACTAGCCATATTAACATTTTATACATACATTTTAACTTTGACAAATATATTGTATTTTCAAGTTATCAGCCATGAGATATGATCTCCACTTGTTCTTGAACCTATATATGCTTCTCTGTCATTTTAGAATACTCTATTGCTCTGTTTGTCATTTTGACCAGATCTAAATTATTTCCTTTTTTATTTACAGCTTCTTATTGTCCTACTAGTTTTTTAAAACCTGAACAGGACTATCAGATTAGAATCACTTAATACATTTATATGAAATGCACTTGGTTTTGTTGTTATGTATTTTATTGAACCTACAAGGGAAATTTGTCACTTTGGTGTCTAACTATACCAGGAGTCGGAAACATGCGGCTCTTTTACTGCCCTGTTGTGGCTCCACAGCAGAGTTAGATTTTTAGGTAAAAATAATCCTCCTTTACAGTAAAATAAAGCTCTGCTGATCGTTCAACACAGTTTTAACTATAAACTGTCTTAAGTGCTGGAATAAATGCCCTAAAGAATGGCGCACAGACTTCTGGTCACTACAGCAACCCGGGCAACAGTCTCACCGAACTAGTAGCTAACGGAAAGGCAAAGAGAAAGATTTAAGATGAACATCGATAATTTGGAGACAAACTGGCTTATTTGCATTTATAATCACTCCAGCTGGTTTCCTGATACATTTAATCTGCAAAGAGAAACTGCTGAACACTAAAAAGTCTCGTTCGCCAGCTTCTTGTTCGAATTCTCCCGTTCCACCTTAAATACAGCAGCAGTTACATTCTGGCGCCTCAGGCACCATTTAAGGTGGAACGGGAAAATTCAAACAAGCTGTCAAATGAGAAGCCGACTTCTTAAAAACATTCTAAAAAACAGAATGTTGACAAACATTTCACAAGAAACTGCTGTACTTTTGTGGAAACGTCTGCGTTTTTGTTTATATTTTAAGCCTATACTAGTACATCAGCACATACTGAGACATATTTACAGCCAAAATGGCAAAATAGACATAAAACGTTGTGGCTCCCAAAGTGGTTTGATTTTTGTTCAAAGGAAAAAATGTCTCTTCTTAACATTTGGGTTGCCGACCCCTGGTATAGACTGAAAAAAATGCACTGACTTTTCTTGAACGAAATGTGTACATCAGTTCCAAATGAATACAATATACTACATTTGTGCCAAATTTAAGTAATCTGAAAGAAAAAAAATGGTGTTGATGTAACATTTTATTTACTGCTGTACAAATCTGAATCAAGTAAAGTCAGTGTATGCCCAGTATGGGAGCAGCACAGCGTTGCCAGCAGAACAGTGCCACCTGGGGCAGTGGGGGGTTAAGTGCCTAGAGCCACTTACTGATCCGAACAGTAAAATCTGAACACATGGCAAGTCTCCACAGAAAGCAGTGAGTTTCCATGATAACAGAGAAAGTAAAGTTTCTCTCCTGTAAATGTTTTGTCTGGTTAACACTGAGATATTAACACAAATTCTCCTTCAGTGTAATTCTAAGACATGCTAACTAGAAAAAATATCTCTGGATTTACAGTCTGAACGCTGCCTAAATTGATTACAGGCTACTTGCAGCAATATTATCACACCTAGTTATCGCTGCCCATGTTTCAGCATAGTTTTAGCCAAAGAACTGTTGATTTAATCCCTTCAATCAAATTTAAATGTGTTATATCATAATGAAATATTCACACTTCACAGCAGGACCCTTACTAACAGTACAGAAGACTGGGTGATCGTTTACCTGTAGGGAATCCTCCTGTGGCCTTGGCTTGGAGTCTCTGGAGTTACGGGAGCGGGACTCGCTCCAGTGCATTTCCTCAGCTGATAGAATACAAAACATAACCACACACGTTACCACCAAAGAAGATCTATGCAGAACATAAAGCACTCGGATTAGTACAGACTATTTCTAGAAAGTATCTAGAAACAGGGCCGCACAAAAGACAATATGACAGTAATATGACTTTTATTGTTGCATACTGCAGTGGTTACAATGGTAATGTAGTAATGGCTAAAGAGTGTCCTGCTTTGTTTTGTTTGCTGCATGAAATACACAAATGCCTTGATTCATCAAATCACCCATTTAAATACTGTGATTACTCAGTATGCTCACAGCAAAAAAAAAAAAAAAAAACACTAATTAGAAAGATTATTTGCACACTGCAGTTTTCTGCAATACCAGTTTAGCTAAAGGCCAATATTGCAACATTTAACAATATACTGTGCAGCCCTAATCTACAGTTTTCAGCCATGTGTTATTTTTCAGCTGAAAAGAAAATATTACAGATGACCAATGAGAAAAATTAATGACACGTCTGAAAGGAAAAAAAGAAGCGACTGACTTTTATATCCCCCTCCTCCTCTGCCTCGTCCTCCTCGACCCCTGGCCCCTCCACCCCGCTTGCGCCCATCTGGGATCCGTTTAGGGTAACCCATAGATTCTTCGTCTGTGGGCGCCAGGGACCAGTCACTCAGCTCGTCTCTGTGGTCAGATTCCGTCTCGGATGCATTAGAGGCTTCAGAGTTGGTACCTTGTACAAATATAAAAGGACATGTCACCCAAAAAGTTAAAACAAATGACTACTCAGGCCAATCCTATTATGATATTTGTGAGATCAACAAAAAACGTTTAAAGGAAATTACGCTAGACCCGTTTGATTTTAGCTCTCTATTTGTTTTTCTGGACTTTATAACACTTTATAAGTCTTTCTACAAGGTAGGTCTTTATGCCCATCAGTGTTGTGAAACTTCACGTCTTCAGTTTTGCACAGGAGCTGTGAGGCTAAAGTAGGTAATAAGTAAAGGAAGCTTATGGCCCAAAGGTAAAATTATGCAAACTGCCTCAAACCACACGAGTTATGTAATCTGATAGACTTGCATATGTGGTTTCGCTGCGTGACATGCTGTACATATGTGCATATATATCACGGCTGATATAAGCCTATACCTTTGTTTATCAAGCTACTACAGTTTCACAGCCTCAGTGGAAAACTAGAAAAGGTTCAAATGCAAACATCTTGGCTGATTAAGTGTTATTTAATATATTTTTGCCAAAATTAAAATAAACACTTAAAACGTCATATACCCGAGGCAAAGGTAGGGCCTCGTCTTCCTCTGCCCCCCCGGCCGAAGGGTTTGCCACCTCGTGAAGGCCCCATGCCGTTATCAGCACTGAAGGGCTTTTCCTTCTCTGGTCTGCCTGGGGGAGCTCTGGGCCCTCCGCCAATCTGCCTCAGTTGTTCGTCAATCTGCAGCCTCTCCATCCGCAACTGGTCCACCTCCTGAACCATAAATCATCAACTATAACAAACAGCCACTACAACAGGTGATATATAGTCATTGCTGGAACAAACCCTCGTATCTCAGAGAAAGTACCTTTACAGGACAAGGAACAACGTTTTTAACTTTTAATGGGGGGGAAAACCCATCTTTATCTTTTAAGTTAATGGAACAAGATCCTATTCCAAGTCATTCTGGACCATTTCTATTGGTCCATTTGTGATGAAATACTGACAACATAACGGCCGACTGGTGTTTTTAAATCGTGTGAATCAAGTTTTATAAACCTTGAACAAGTATTATGGTATGAGGTATGAGGTTTCTTGACTGAACAAGAAACCTCATACCTTTGTTAACAAGCCACATGAGAGACTCTTGATTTGTGCAAATTCAGAGAAGCCCTTTGTGGTCAATAAGCTAGCTTAAAATTACTGAAATACAGTCAGAAGAAATAGCTGTCTCACAGAACAGATTTTGGGTCACTTTGGCAGTCGGTATTTACGTAAAAATCTATAGCACATCTTCATTTTAGACATGCATTTAATACCCTTTGCCCATGATAATGGTTACTTATGTCAGTCGTGAAACACTTCACTGTTATTCCTGCCAGAGAGCATGAAAAAAGGCTTTTTTTCAAGTAATTTTGGGCCATTTCTGTTCATCCACTCATCATGAAATTTACACACAACGTAAAGGACAACCGGCATTTTCAAATAATGTCAAAAACTGAAAAAGCAGCGAGACACAATGTAAACAACTTAGCAAGCACTACTCGTCTGACACTACCGTATCATTTACTGTGAGTAAGAGGAAAGCAGGTTAGTGGGAAAGATAAAAGATGAAAAAAGTTTACCTTCAAATAGTTGAGATGGTAGTCAAGCAGTATGCGAGCGTTTGAAATGCTCTCTTTTGTCCCAACAAACACAAATGGCACCATGCCCTATTGTCAGATGGAGAAATGCAACCCCACACCAGGGATGTAATTTAATGACGCATCGATTCCGTGTAATTCCAGCATCATAACTTCTACATAAACAACCAGCCTACATATTAATAAATTCCTTAAACACAAAACAAAGTTGAAGAAAAGTGGTTATACAGAGATACTGACCTCCTCCAATGGAGACTTTTTGTCGTTTTCTGGTTCAACTCTTACTCTGACGACACCAGATTTATCCACGACCTCCTGAATCAGCTTCCCGCTCTTTCCGATGACTTTTCCTAGAAAAGGAGAGGCAGATAAATGGCTGTGTGGGTGACTGGGTGCCTTGCAAAACACTTTTAATCATATTAGGCAATTTCCTCACACTATTAGTTATAGCTAATGTCCACCATTCCATGTGTTCCCCCACCCTCCTGCACCACCAAGTGAGAGGTCAAAGGGCCTTAAATGCCTTCATCTGATGCAAAGTAAAGCCTTTTTGAACGATCACTCACCCAGCATCTTTAAACAGCTCACTGCAGGAGATAACTGCTGAACTAAGTCATTACAAAACAGAAAACCTGATTGGATGGCGTGTTTCTTAACTACAGGGGATCGATGTCCCCTGCCGTCTATCCCACCTATGAAAGCATGGCCAATTACGCTCTCATAGACGCCCCAGCCATGGACTGCACATGATGCACCTGGAGCACAGCAGTATGGTTCATCTCCACACTTCGGAAGCAGCATTTCACAATGACGAACCCCTCGGGGGGCCATGTCCAGAATTCAACTGACATTTGGCATTTCTTGTTCTTACCTACTAAATTCCTGGGCACTTTGATAATATCTTCAGAAAACTCCAGGTAGCTCCTGGCTTTCCGCACAGCCTCCTGGTCCTGGAATCAAAACTTGCATTGGTTACACACATAACCTCAGCATACCTTCAGACCAAACATGAATACTGAGAGTGGGTGTTTTTCCGGATACCTCTCCGTAGATGTGGAAGGTGCAAGTCTCTTCATCCAGGTCTATGTTGGTGACTCCAGGGACCTTGCGCGCTTGCTGGATGTTTGCTCCATGCGTGCCTATGGCCAGCCCCATCAAGTCATCACGTACCACAAACTGCTCATGGAACCTGGAGGCTAACTGCCGAGAGCTCTGGAGGGCACATGAGTTTTGGTACATACAGATGGTGAAACATAAGCATAAGAGAGACATAAGCTGGACTCAAGACAGTCTTGCTGTGTTTTGTAAGACTGAATTTTCAACCAGGCTTTGCTGTAATTGTATTATTCTTGTCTCATTTTATGAATGTATGTTCAAACAGTTTTTCTGTATGACACAGACAATTCCAAACCATTTTGTATTGAACTTAAGAGGTAGAGAGAATGTTTAGATGCTCTTCCAACTGAAATTTGTGCTAAAATGCTTTTGGGAACTAGTTTTGCTCCGCAGCAAGGTTTCTCAGACGGTAAAACTTTGGGATCAGTGCAAATTATCTGTCAATCAGAGATTGTTTTTGGTCTGATCCCAAAGTCTTAACATCTGAGAAATCTTGCCGCTAAGTCAAAATAGGCATTAAATGCCGTTACACACTGAATGTGACAAATAACACGAAAATAAGCAAAGATTTTGAGCACTTTCTCATAGAGGGTGTCAATAATCCACTTTGAGCTGCTTTTGGACACCAGAGACAACAGTGACTGAACAAGACTGTTCAAGACACCTGTGAAAGTTTGCAAAAATCAAAAAAATTCTAATACTGCATTTTCACCTTCATGAAAAACAAGTTTGGCCTGCAAGATATCAGCTTCACACAATCACATTCATCTAGTGACATTAAATAAATCACATGAAAAAATTGTGCTCAGTTTAGAAGCATTTCAATTAAAATATGAATAGCAAATATGAGATCAGCAGGCATTACACTGTTTCTACATATGACCTTGTTCATCATTTTTTAAGAAAACAGTTTGAAGTTACACTTTTTCTATGCACAATACAAAATTACACACGTCTATCTACAATAACCGTACGATATACAAAATAAGACCCATGAACAGTACAATCTCTATTATGAGACAAACAATACGACCTTCATCCACTTTATTGGCATAATAATCAATCAGATTTGAATATTTCTAATCAAACAACACATTTAAACTTCTATTTATTCTGGAGTGACCTGTGCACCAATGTGGAACTATATTCTGCATAAGCCTCAACTAGGCAGAAGCACATTTAACTGCGGAGGCCTGGAATGTAACAGCTGTGCATACGCACATATGAGAAAGTAATACCCCTTTGCACTTGTTAAATATAGACGCTCTGAAGTGCCACACAGCAGATTTGTATCCCATAATGAACAGGAGTCATGCACTGCCTGGGACTCCCAACGATCGTATTCAATCAAATGTGTTAGACGTATCAAGTTACAGCACCAATAAAGTCCATTTTCATTACATTATGAGCTCCTCTCCCTGACAAGCCACACATTTAGCTGGCAGAGTCTATTACAGTGAGCAGAGCGATGGAGTTTACAGTACTGAATTGGTGCATGCAGTATAAATCAGGATGAGGTCAAACTTTCAGACGCACGTACCTCCAACTGTCGGCTGGCCTCTTCGTTCCGCAGGATGAGTGCCAGCTTGGTGCGCAGGCTTCTGAAGTGCATGTCCGTCAGCATGTTCGCTCGTTTGGTTGTCACCTCATTGACCGACTGAAATGAGCACAATGAGAAAGTTCATTAAAGTGAAACGCCAGGAAAAAAATTACACAGATTCTGATTTGAAAGCAAGGACTTACCAAAATAACCAGCTGTTTTTTCTCCGAGTCATACGTGACGTTGAAAGCTCCGATAGCTTTTTTGAAGTCTTTATGAGCTGAATCCTTTGCACACCTAGGAACATTCAATGAAAAAACCCTCAGCCACTCAAGTACATACATTGATTACTCTATTAAAATAACAACAAATAAAAAAAATTCTACTTGACCAAGAGCGAGAGGTTCAAGATATTCAGAAATTATGTATCATTATTTGGACACCTACATCTGCCGCAGGTCTTCTGGGACATCCAATCTGATTTTCAGGAAAGTGTTTTTTGCGGCTGCTTTGTTGGGGTTCACAGGTCGTAGCCTCTCTAATGTGACGATCTCGTTGAGCGTGGCATCACAGGCTGCATACTCTATAACATAAAACTGGAGGGAGATAAACGGCACAAAAATGAAGCCTTTGTTAGCACATATTCTGAAAAGGAAGTGTAAATGCACTTCATATGAGTTTCCAAGCCTTCTGCTTGAGTGGAAAATGATCCCAGACAGTTAGAGATCATTTGGCTATTGAGATATGCATATGACACTAAAAAAAAATAATAATAATAAAAAAAAGCTTTCCAGCCATTTTTCATTCATACCCAAATGATCTCTGATCGACCAAGATCAGATCTGAAAATCGTCAAAACTCATCCCACAAGAAATGGCTAGTCACCCTGAAGGCGAATGAGACATTTTTGGAGGTACCCTCCTACTACTGGCAGTTATTTTGAAGGCACCGCACTTTAGAAAAGTTCTCCCATGGAAACAGAACTGAAGAGTGGTTAGAACTGAAAGTTGTTTTTTATCCACACATCCAACTCAAATCATCCCACTGTTGCTCACCTCTCCTTTCACCATGCGCACTTTGGCTAGCCACCACCCACATGGTTCCTTGTCATTGGCCCTGGAGTACACCTACAGATCATTCAGTAAAACCAACATAACTGAGTCAGTTTATACAGAACAAACAGGCCGCGGGTTACACGTGCGTTTGCGGTGTGACTACATTTTGATCGCACGTACCTCAACTTCATCGCTTTCAGTGATCTCCTTCTGAGCGCCGACAGGGGGTGGAAAGCGGACATCTTGAAAAGGAATCTGTCGTTCTGGCTGCCAGCTACAATTCAGAGAACGTTCACAAATGTTTGGTTAGAAATCCTAAAATCATAGCACAATAGACGAAAGCCTACAGAGTTGTGCTGGGTGATATACTCTGTATATGGGTACGCTGTGATATTGCAGTTTTAGCAACATATTTAGTAAATAAAAAGCTTTATCTCCATGATTTATTGTCCATAAGATACCAGTGTCCTTGTCCCAGATGGTTCATTTTTTTTGTGGCATTTATAAATATAAAATTGATCTTAATTGATATATATGACTAATAAAGACACAAAAAAAAATCAATTTACATTCTGGAAAAGAGGTTTCTGTCTGATTAACATGTACAATATGCTGTAAGGTTCCTTTTGGTGTCACTGTATGTTTTATACTAAGTTTGTAAGACATTCTTACAGCATCAAGTACCAGGACTCAGCATGGGTTCAGTAACGCAAAACTATTTTTTTTCCCCCGCCAAGATCTCCTTGCACTACTATATACGCGGTTGTACTGTATACGCAGGCAAATGCAGCGCCATAAACCCTGTTCTCTACTTCAGTGAAGGACACATGGCAACCCATTATCTCCACTATGAAGTAACATATCAAATATGAAGATACTCACTTGTTCTCAAAAGATACTGTGACCGTACTTTCATGCACATCCTTTACAAGAGCCTGCAAAGAGGGACAGTCAGTTATTAAATTGCAAATTATTTCAAAGAAATATGCGTATATACTTAGAGCTTTGGGATATGACAGTATATATCATTATCATGATAAATTACAATACAAATACTCCTCTGAACATATTGTGAATATTGCCAGTACATTGCCAAAATTAATCCCATTAGTTGGATTCAGCCCAAAACACTATGCCAAATATGGAATAAAAACAATGGCGTTCAGAGTTTTTAATAGTGTTTTCTTTTCAAATCTAGCACTACTGGTTCTTTTTTCTCAGTTCCAACTGATCAGATTTTCGAAAAGCTAAATATCATAAAGTGCATTGTAAAAATTTCTTTAAGTATTGCGATTTTTTATTTTTGCCATTTTGCAGATATCTATACATACTCATAACTCACTTCTGCCTTTGGAATAAGGGATGATTTTTTTCAATAATGTAATAAATTACATGTAATAAGTGGATACTGTCACACTCAAAAACTGGCCACTTGCATATTTTATTACACAGAGAGCTCAAATATGCCTGTTTAACTGTATTTAGTGCAGAGCAGTATGTGAAATACTCTGTAAGTAATACTGTACTCAAAATATTTAACTGAATTTTCTTTTTCGCCTGCTCCAGCTCATCAAATCTCAGAAAACAAAGTATTTCATGTAAATGCCTTGAAGCATTGTGACCTTAACTGTTTTTTCCATATCGTCCACCCCTACGCTGGAGCACTTACCACCAAGCTGTATGCACAGAATGGTAATGGGAAATAAAAATAGCAGTTGCCTGCCAGACAAATGGGATCAGCGCAGATCTGATGGCACAAAGTTCTACAGAAAAGAACAGGTGACAGTGCTGCTGGGTACTAGTGAGGACAAGAGCAACACCCCACATGTCCATGTAATGTTGCAAATAGGCTTTAAGAGGCGGAATGGTTGAAGGAAAACGCCAAGTGTTCACAGAAGTGCGGATTCTGCTCTAATCCGTGCACCACCGTCCCAAACTGACTCAATGTAGCACAGCCAGCTAGCCAACATCCTCTGCAGCTTGCAGCATTTAACCCAGAGCAACGGCGGCTAGTGGCCTACAGCCAGCCGTCGAGCCAGTTTGGTCTTAATAAGGAGTCAATGTAACGTGTAGCTTTGTAACGTGAAGCTAATACAGCGTCTACGTGCGAACAGGCACCGAACGGACCTCGATAAAAACAGCTCTGAGGGTTGTAGCTAAACGTAACGCAGACGGACCGTCCACGGCAGGTTGGGCCTACCGAGCCTGAACGGCTGCAACAGTGCAAGAAGCCCAGGCTCGGAGGGAGCCGCTGCTGGCTTTCTTGCAAGTAAACACGGAAGGAGAAGAAAAAGAGGGTGAAATGAGGAGACCCACCTTGTAGAAAGCCCCACTCGCCCCCCGGACTTCCACCGCCAGCTCGTCCATGGCGCCCGCCCGCAATGTAATAGTAGAAGTGGCTGCAGCTGCCGTGTCGTCGCGCCTCCTCCTCCTCCTCGCTCCTCCGCTACCAGGCTGCGGGGTAGGGCCGTTTGGGCTGTCTTTTTGTCGCTTTAGGCTGGAGAGCAGAAGGAACCGCGCATGGAGCCCCAGGCCGAGGCTACTGCTGCTGCTGCTCGTCACCGCTCCGCTCCGATGTAAACACGGACGCACAGCCTCCCTCCCCTCCTGCACCTCCGCGGTCACGTGACACGTAGCTGCGCACTACGTCACCGCGCTGCTCTGATCAAACCCACAGCGCAGGGCCTGGGCGCATGTCTGTGTCTCTTCGCTACTGTATAGCTATTTACTAAGTTTTAATAATGAAAAAGTTTCACATAATTCACTACAGTGCTTGTAAGGCAAAGCACCGTATTGTTAGCCCTTAGCCTCTTTTTCTTCTTCTTCTTCTTATTGTTCTTCTTGTTCTTCTGCTTCCAGGATTAATCCACAGTCAGTAAACTCTCTGTAGGCAAAGGTTTCTGGACACTGCTCATATCATCATCATACACCACACACCACAGTCAGCAAACACTATGGACACAGCTCAACAGTCTTGTAATGCCTGGGATACCATAGCAACTGCCTAGCAATACCATAGCAACCACCTAGCAAGACCCTAAACCACCTGGGATACCATAGCAACTGCCTAGCAACACCATAGCAACCACCTAGCAAGACCCTAAACCACCTGGGATACCATAGCAACCACCTAGCAAAATCTATACAACAACCTAGTTACGCATGGCAACCACCTAGCAACATCCTAGCAACCATCCCATCTGTCTGTCTATCTATCTATCTGATCTTTAAGTTTTAATTTTCTATTTAACTTTTTTTTAACTATTTTTTGCTTTGCAAGCATTGGCATTTCCTTCAGGAATCGCATATCTAGTTATGACTTAGTATCTCACAATTATGACATTGCATCTCAAAATTATGAGTTGTTATCTCATTGCTATGTCATATTTATTTGTTTGGTTTGGATATCCTCCTTTATCTTTCTTAGTCCCACAGTTGTTAGTGACTTGAAGTGAACACTTTATATTGCATCTGCATTGGGAATTTAACATTCCTAAACTTTCTGTCTAGCAGAGCAAGCTCTGTTCATCTGTCCATAGAAGGAAAGAGAAACACCAGAGCATCTTTGGGGTCTTCCACACTTTACTGACACTCGTTTAAGTTAATCTGTGCTGACAGAGACATTTTTTGTGTATTACAACATTATTAAAATGCTAAAGGTTAGGTTTGGAAATATTTTATATATTTTTGTTATTCTAATCATGATGGACTTTTCGTATTCAAATTCATGTATTCAGCATGTGTTGCTATCATGTAGCTAAACATGGGGTTACTCACATTAGGCTCACTAGTGGCACAATAGTGGCTCTCTTAACAATGAGTGTGGCTGAAATCGCAGAGCCCAATTAATAGAGTACTCGTAGCCCTATGGTATAGATAGATAGATATACAGATATATAGATAGATAGATAGATAGACAGATGGGATGGTTGCTAGGATGTTGCTAGGTGGTTCATCAATAATAACGGTTGCAATTGGTAAAGTGGAGATGGGTAGTTTTAGGTGTGAAGCTATTTTATTTTATTTTTTTTAATAAATATAACCTAATATATGAAGGTGAACCACTTTTTGCCTCATTTCTGAACTCTCAGATCTTCATGTGAATGGATGACTGAGGATTTTGGGTGTTCTGGGGTCATCTTTCTATTTAAATTCCAATTTGTGGTCTTCTCATTTTAATCATGATTAATTACATTTGCTGAAATTTTACATTAAAACGAGTTTTATTTTCTATAAAGAAACAGTGCATTTTGTTTTTACTATGTAAATGAACAAAATAAGCTTCATCAGAGTATATTTATCACCTTCAATAATTTAACAGTGTTATTTTCAATGTGTGAAGGCATTAACCAGAACATGAAAATCACATAATTTCCGTAGAGTGAACACAGGTTCAGTTTTCATCACTAATGTCCAGTGAGAGCACCTGTGACTGCGTGTTCCAACCAATGAGTGTATACACTCCTGGGCAAAAAAATGGGCCGCGCTCAAAATAGAATGGTTTTTACTGCTAGTTTAGGCTGGTCAGAGTTCAGATTTAAACCCTATAGAGAATATTTGGTCTCACATTAAACACAAACTAGCTCTGCAATGTCTTCCAGCTGTTTGAAGCCGTCAGTGCTGAGTGGAACAATACCGACTCGTCTTTCTGTAAAAGGTTGTCTGCAAATTTCCACACAAAATGTCTAGCTAGGCCATAATAAGTTACTTCATCTATTTGTTTAGATCTTTAAAAGCTTAATAAATTTGCCATGTATGGGTGATTCAATGATTGAGACTCTTAAAAATGAAGCTGTATATACACATATATATGCGTACATACACAGGGCTGCAAGGTAGAGTCTTGAGAGGAAAATTATACGTAATTATTACATATACTTATTATAATTATACTGAATTATTAATTAATATCGCTGTTGTCGGAACAAAACCTTGTATCTCCAAAATTAGAACTTTACAGGAGAAGGAAAAAACCTGCTTTACTTTTAATGTAAGTCAAACTTGTAACTGTAACATCAGTGGGAGGCAAATGGCACCCCAACTGTAGGCTTGTTTGTTAATGTGAAGGCATATATATATATATATATATTATTCCCCGTGATCGAAAGTATATTTTTAAAGGTGTGTCTTAAGAATATATTTCCACATCTATACTTATATTTCTTTGTTGTTTTTTGTCTTTTTGAGACCTGATGTACGTTTCGTTGGTGTTTGTGTACACCGTGATACTTGGAGCGTGAGCTTTCCATGAGTAAGTTATTGTGACATGAGATAAAGACTTGTTTATGTCCATCTCAGAACTATCCTACCAGACATGGTGGTGCAAGCTCTGATAATGGAACTGGGACTGGACGCCTCTATCATTGCAGAACTAGGTAAAAGTTTACTTTATTGAGATTATTGAGACTGAAGGTTAGAAACTGTTGCTGGATGACATTAGAATTTGCATGACGGGTGCAATCTTTGTTGACTGAAATAATCAGTGACGTGTTTTGTTGCATGTGTGAACCAATCCAAGTATAGGATATTAGACTTGCTGTGTACATTGTTTATGGGGGGGTAATGGGTTATGCAAATTGCTTTTGTATAGAGTAAAAGGCCTAAATCACTCTCTGTGTGACTGTGTGATTGCAGAGTATATTAAATGCTGCAGCCACTGCGGTACAACGTTTTCATGTAACATCAGTGTCTGATTTCAGGATGAATGGGCAAAAATTCCCACAGACACTCTCCAAAATCTTGTAGAAAGCTTCCCAGAAGAGTTATAGCCGCAAAGGGGGACCAACTCCATATTAACGCCTAAGGATTTTATAATGGGATGTCATAAAAGCTCCTGTAGGTCTAATGTGTAGGTGTCCCAGTACTTTTGTCCATATAGTGTATGTGTGTGTGTCGCTGTGTGAATGAGCAGAGCTCATCAGCAGAGCTGAACGCAAAGCAAATTGAGTGTTGTATAGCTGCAGCAGTGCAATCAGTAATTTATTTTGGATCTGGGGACACATCTGACCTGCCTGTTGAACTGTACATGCAGGAGTCAAGACCAGAAAGTTTAGCAAGCAGCAACTCTTGAAATCACTCCGATGCAGGTCGGTTATTAGCATCGTCAATACTGCTTTTCTTGCTTCACCGAAGTTTATGCTCAATTGTAAACTCTAGATCACGGTTATGGATGTGCGGGTACCTCTGATTTTTAGTAAGAGAAAACTTCAAATGGACTATGAGCAACATTTGATTGTATTAACCATAGCTATACATACCTAGATGCTGCGTTGGGTCCAGCCAGGCATGCCAACGGCGCTGTCACTTTGGGGCCGTCAACATCGCCGCTGGACTTCATTCAGTACCATTTCAGAGCAGCAGTACAAGAAAAATACTGTCCAAAATTACACTATTTCAAGAATACTGCACTCAGAAAGCAGGATAGGATTATATAATGGAGGGAACACAGAGATCCACGCTCATGTTTGTGTGATGCGTTTTGTTTGTATGATGTTTATGTGTAGATATGGCCGTGCGGTTGGTGAAGCAAAGAGAACCTGTTGATGTGATTGTTTTTCCTCTGGTTTTATTTTAAGCTAATTCCATTTAATAGTCTATTCAGGGGATCTTACCTTTATGTTGTAGTTATTCATTTACAGTGATGGTTAATGTGTTGTAGGTTATAGCCTTTCTTAATCTGGGTAGATAGTCATAATAGATTAACCTTAGCATCTTCTTACACATACCTGAAATTAGCTTCCTATTCCCCAGCATCTTGTTTGAATTTTCCCATTCCACCTTAAATGGCACATTAGCCAGGATTTTGTTTGAATTTTTCTGTTACACCTTAAATGGTGAAGCCTCAGGCACCAGAAAGTGACTGCTGCACCATTTAAGGTGGAATGAGAAAACTCAAACAAGAAGCTGGCAAATAGGAAGCCAATTTTAGCTTCGTCCTTCTTACTGAGTTTTGGGGGTTTATTTTATTTTTATGTGTATTAGGATTAGAAGTGATTCACACATTGATGGATTTGCTGATATGTGTGATTTATGTTTCTCGCGCTAAACTCGGACGTCAGGTACAAACTGAAAACTTTTGTGCTGGTCCGGACGGCTAATTAGCTCGATCAGTTATTAAAGAGAAGCTACTGAGAGCCGTCTGTGCAGCCTAGATTAATGTATGTCTGAGGATTATAACAAAACAAAGTTGGTAAAAGTTGGTGGCCGATTTAATCCTGAGACTCATCGTCTCTCAATACAAGTAAATTTGTTCACAAGCGGATCTTGACCGCTCCAACACGGGGGATGCACAGACGTAACAGACATCTAGGTATGTATCTGTGGTACTAACATGGTACTAACATGTAATTTATTTACTTTTACTACATGTTGTAGGTGTAGGTTTGCAAGGATTATAATCTGTCAGAGGAATTCCTTAGTAATTAGAGTTGTAACTGCATTTATGTCTGTAATTCTTTATTGCCTTTTGTGACATTCGGAAAAAATGCCTGCATTAAAAATTACTGCTCTTGGTGTTGAGGCAAGCACATCTAGGCAGTTGGCTGTGGTCCATCATGTGGCCTGCCAGACACACCCACCAGAGAGATGCACAGTTGGCACACAGCTTTCAATC